TTGTTCAGCATGGGGGTGAGTAGAAAATGAAGGCTAATCATGTTTTGGGTGTACTATTCCTTTAAATAACCCATCCCCCCCATCAGACACTCAGAACTCAAATTTAAATACGCCCCCTGGTGGCGACAAACACCAAAGGATAAATGGCTCCTACAATTAGTTAAATCTGAAAAACTCACACGAAGAGAAATTAGAAGAAATTTTTTTGACACAATTACTCTTTGGCGCTCAGACCTCAGCAGGAAACATAGTGCTTAATTTTTATCGATATAGATGAAAAGCAGTAAAGAATAGGGCTGTTTTCCCCCCAGGCCTGAAACTGGTGGTGGAGTGGAGATGGATGAAGTTGGTCAGTCTGTAGACTGCTGGCTAGTGAGACGGTATGCTGAGCTTATGGGAAGATCCAGTGGGCTAATAGCTTACTTAGGGATCTGGAAGATTGAAGTCCAGCTTGAATAACACAGGTTCAGAGAACCTGTCCATGATGAGCAAGCATGAGCGACAGTGGAGAGGAAAAACTCCCAGTTGGGAAGAAACCTCTGGCAGAACCAGGCCCAACATGGCGGTCTTCTGCCGGACCGGTTAAGATGAGACGTGGATTGCCATAAGAGTCCGGGAATGATGAAACCCGATGAAGCTTTAGCCGCAATGCTGGAGCAGGGGCTGGAGGTGGGTTGAAACGGGTCGTCCGAATGAAGTCAGACAGCGCATCTGCCACCTGCACACTTTGAAGCAGACCAGCAGATCGGAGGCCTTTAAAAATGGACTTGGATGCTGATTGGCTCTGGTGGAGGTGTGGTTCAAAGCTGATTGATTCAGTCGCAGGTGATATAGGAGAGCAATTAGTTTCTTCGGTTGAACTTCCCCCTTGGCTCCATTTGTTCCATTGTGTGTATTATAAATGTTTATCTTTTTCCTCAGTTAGCAGTGCATTGCTGCCAGTTATTTTTTTCATAGTGGTCAACTGGTGTTTGAGCCAAATGCTTGATTTATGATATAATATTTTATTATTTTTACTTACTGTTTTTGTCTGATTTACGCTGTTTCTCGCCTCCGCCCCTTCATTACAGACAGGTGACTGCAGCACCTGGAATATATTGGAGTTGGCTATTGGAGCCAGGTGAGCTCTTGGATTCAGGCACAAAGCCATACAGTTTTTGACCGCTATTGATTAATGTTGCTTTTCAAGTGGCAAAAAAAGGAAAGAAATTAGCTGAATTGATTTGCCTGACATCATCAATTCTAAGTTTGTTTTTTGCATCTTGAAGCATCTTGAACAAGAGGAAAAAAAAGTTTGTTGGATTGCATGGTCACTTGACAGTGCTGAAGTGAGTCAAACTTGGATGCTTCTGAACTAAGAGCCACGCACATCTTTATTGGAAGGACTGCACTAAGAACTGGTTTCTATGTCTCCAATCCCACCTCCACATTATTTATACTCTCTTCATTCTTTGTACATTGATGGATTCTACCACTGTTCCTGTCCCAGTTTCTATTAAGGACATTCTTAGGTCACGTTTGGGTCTTCTTCCTTAGCCTTCATCCTCAGGCTTATCAGAGATATGTAGGCAAAGAATATCGAGCCTTGCTTTTTGTTTTACCTGTAGTACTCTGATTAGGTAAATAGAGTCAAATTATTTTTAAGACAAAATGCCCAGAATTTGAGAGCGTTTCTAAAGAAATATAAATTATACTTTTAAAGTTATCAGGTTAAGTTACAATTATTTTCATTAAAGTGTAAAATTTGCACATTTTTGGTATATTAAGGAGCAATTAAAACTGGGAAATGCAGAGTTTCCATAGTAATGATAAATAAAACTTTGCCATGAAAGACGAAAAACAGAAGAGAGAATGAAAATCATTCTAAGAAACATAGACCTTGAACTTGACTAGCCTATCTGTAGTTCATGACTTGGGCTACTGGTACACACCAGTGTTAATTTCATCAGCGTTTTTTTTTTTTAGTCTTAGTCTTAGTCACGATGACAAAAATCAACTTTAGTCTTAGACATATTTAGTTATTGCCTTCCTGATTTAGATTTAGTCTTAGTCTAAATGGCGAAAATCAATTTTAGTCTTAGTCAAATTTTAGTCATTTTTGTCATTTTAGTCCACACTGTAAATAATAGAACTGTCACAGTCTTGGTTCTGTTATGTTTTCTTTTGAGTATTCAGTTTTAGTTTGCTCCATGTTTTTGAGTTTTAGTGGTTTAATTCTTATTTTGTTGTGTTTTCTGGTTAGTTTTCTGTTACTGTCACAGTCTTGGTTCTGTTATGTTTTCTTTTGAGTATTCGATTTTACTTTGCTCAATGTTTTCTAGTTTTAGTGGTTTAATTCTTATTTTGTTGTGTTTTCTGGTTATTTTCAGTTTTCAGGTTTTTGTTTGTTGCCCTCTGCTGCCCTCTTGTGTTCTCATTTTTCCCTGGCTCCTTTCCTGTTTTGCTCTGTTCACACCTGCTTCCAATCTGCTCGTTAGTCCTCTCTTTATTTCAGTCTCCCATAAATACACTCTCTGGGCGTCTCATTGAGTCTTCCTCCTCGTGATTGTTTTCCCCAGATGTCTCCATAGTTTCTGGTTTGTTTGACTTTGTTTGTTTTCACTTCATTAAATCATCAAGGAACTCACCTCTGCCTCCCTGCATTTGGGTCCTCAAACCTCAACCAAATCCTGACAAGAACTTCTCCACACACTGCTTTTTTTTAAATATATATGTCACACTGTACAGAATAAAAATTCTTCACACACTGGTTCTCTTTGTCTCTATTTTATTTATATAACACTGTGCAAAATAGAACTTCACACACTGATTCTCTTTTTAACATATATCAAACTGTACACATGAAACCTTT